GTGGTGCTTAACTACTCCCTGCTGTCGCCCAGGGCCAGCACAGCGCCAGGCTTGGCTGACAGGCTCCATAAACATTTACAGAACGAGGGCGTCCCGGGAAGGCGTGCGGCCAGCAGGAGCCTGCCTTTCTCCTCTCTCCTGGCTACCTTGCCACAATGGAGGACTTTCTTGTCCCATTTACAGGGTGTAGGAAATGACAGAGGGGATTTCTCATTCATAGGCTGTGGCCCCTTTCCTTGTTGTGGCAGTGCCCATCATGCCCTTGAATACATCGTTCTCTTAGCCAGGAATGGCCCTTGCTCCTCGTCTGTGCGCCTGTGTGAACTTCTCCTTTTTCCATACCCAGCTCAAATGACACCCTTGGTGTAACACCTTCTCAGTCCCACCGTGTCACATTACCTTGAATTGTAATTGTTTGTGCACATCGGTCTCCTCCTACTCCCCTTACACTGTAAAACCTTGAGGGACAGACACTCATCTTTATTCTCTTATTTGTTTACAGACAGTGCAACGTAATGGTTAAGGGCATAAACTATGGATTCAGGGATAGCCTGGGTTTAAATGCTGGCTGTGCAATTTATTGGTTATGTAATTCCCAGAAAGTGATTAAACCTCTTTAAACCCTATTTTTCTTATATGTAAGAATAAATATGATGGTAGTATTCACCTCTTAGAGTTGTTAGAAGAATTCCATACATGTATAATTTATTGGTTATTTGCCATATGTCAAGCATTATGCTGATAATAGTAATTACTATGTTTACTTATTTATCCAACAAACATTTATTGCACAAATATTAGTGCCCGACAGTGTCCTAGGTGCTGTCTTCAGGATCTAGCAAGATGTTTGGTGTAGAGCTAGGGTTCGGTAAATGTTCATTGAATGAATAAAGATTGAACAAGCCATGGATTTAGTCTCTAAATCTGTGATTCCATCAGGTAAGCCAGATCATGCTGGGCAACAAACACTTCCCCTCTCAATCTCAGTGGTTTAACAAAATGTATTTATTGCTCATCTTCCACGTTCTGTGTGGGATGGCTGGGATCCGAGAGCCAGCTTGTCCATAGTGCCACCTCCACAGATGTTTCCATGGTGTCTGTAGCAGAGGGAAGGGAATGGCATGCACTGGCTCTGAAAGTGACACACATCATCTGTGCTCACATTTTATTGGTTAGAGCAAGTCACATGACCCTGTATAACTTTAAAGAGGAGAGAGAATTGCAATTGCAATTATACCCTGTGCCCAAAAGGAGGAAGACTAAACCAGAATATTTGTGAATATCCGTCATGACTATCAGCTGGAAGCTGGTGACACAATCTTCTGACTAACACAGGGGGCATTTCTGGGGCACAAACAGCCCTGTTCAAAATCAAACTCAGCAGCTCCTCCAGGCCTCTGGTTTGGAGTTAAGTTTTCAGACAAGGTCTTTTTTTCCCTTCTCACTTCCCCACTCAATTATATTTTAAGCAGATGGGTGATCCTGTCAGCCTTAAGAAAATAGCAGGAAGAAACAAATTTATGTAAAACATTCCACATTCTAATTAAATTTCCCTGCCATCCCAAGGTTTGGGCTTGGATGCTGAGTTGCACTTTAAAAAAATCAAAATAGAAGCCCCAATTCAAGAAAGCTTGCAAAACACTTTCATATTGTTCTCCACGCTGACATATAAATTAAACGAATGCTTCCATTTCCTCCCACACCCAACACCTTTGTTTCTGTTGCTTGATAGCTTGGAACGGGATTTTGTTTAAAGACAATTAAAAGAGCTTCCAAATGTAGAAACTCAGGGAAGCAGGCCAAGCGGAAGATGTAGATGGGAAGTTAAGTGGGACAAATCTTAATCAAGCCGTCACAGGGCTCGGAGGAAACTTGGCCAGCACTGCGACAACTGGACTCAGCCAAACGCCAGAAGACCCACCATGCCGGGGCGCAGCGACACGCAGTCTGCCTAGGGAGCGGCAGGGGCAGGGCACAGGAAATCTGTCGCATGCAACACAGTTCCCAGAGCCGTTCGGTTCCTGGGTTAGGAAAACAAAGTGTCATCCTGAGAGTGGCCTTGGAAGTTAGCCCAACCCGACCTCCATCCTAGACCCTGCCACTCACCAACGGAGCGTCCGCTGCTGAGAGCTGAGGCCTCTTGGCTTCTCCGTCCTCACCTGTAAGACGGGGATGCCGTTAAAGTGTCTGCTGCACACGGTGGTTGCCAAGGTTGAATCGGGAGGGTGTCCGCTGTGGGCTCAGTGCCCGGCGGGGCGCGGGCTCAGGGAGCGCTGGATGCTGTGGCTGCGAGTCCTGGGTGCTGCCGCGGGCTAGACCAAATCCCTGTCACTGTACCTCTGTTTTCCTAGCTGAGAAATGGGTTAGACTGTATGTCCAAGGTCACTTTCAATTCATAGTCCACGAAAAAATTTTTTAACATAAAATTTATCTGAATCTTGGAGCTGTGGTAAGTAGTGCGAAATCAAAGTATCTTCTAATTATGTCATGCTAACAGGTTGAGATTTTCTTGACTTTAGCTGGAATTTAAGGAAAATGGCTTGCAGCTTTCTCTCTAACATTGTACATTTAATATGTCAACAGGAGGCCTGGAGGTATAGGGGAAGGCATGCTGGGCAAAGGACTCTGGCTGTGTGATCTCAGGGCAAGCTCTTGACCTCTCTGTTCTTGTGCTTGCTCATGTTTTCAGATAAGGACAAAAATTCCTACCTTGGTTCTTCAGAGGGGTGCCTTATGGTCAAATGAGTTTGGAACTCGAGATACCAATGGAGCAAACCCTTAGAGACGAGGTACCTAAGGGGCATGGGGTCCCGGCGGCTTTGGAGACCGCCCTCTGTGCCTTTCCCATCGGAACAGATTCTCGGGGGCCTTTGAGCACACAGGGGCAGGAGGGCCGCACCAATTAACTTCTGGAGAAAAGTAGCCATCTGAAAATGCCTACGACCTTTTCACGCACCTTTTCCTACCGGATTTCTCAAAGGAGGAGGTCCAGAGGTGCCGGGGCAGAGACGAAGCCACCGCGCGTTGCCTGTAACCTCTGGGGCAGGGATGCTGGCTGTCTCATGGCTGAATTTTGTCCTCTTGGTGAAGAGAAGAGACTGGGGTGGGGACAAGCGGGAGAAGGGACAGAAGGGAGAGATGGTGCGAGTGTGATTTCCCTCCCAGCGTTCGGGCATTCCGAACCAGCTCGGACATCGGCCGCTCGAGCTCTGGTCTGGCCTGGACATCACAGGTCCTGTTCTGGGCCGGGATCCGCGTTGTGTCTGCTTCTCCAGCCACCTGCCGGCATTTGGTTTCCCGAGCCCGCCTGGGGGTGTGGAACCGCGGCCCGTGGAAGGGGGAGGCCGGTGCGGCCCGTGGCTCACGTCGCGAGCTGCCCTAACAGCAGGCACTCTGTCCCTGTGCCAGGTGGCACCAAGTTCCCAGCCACACCTGTCCCCGCCCGCCCCGGGCCCAGCGTGCGACAGACCCGCTGCTCCAGCAGCGCCCGCGGCTCGGGTGGCTCGGCCCCTGGTCCTGTCTGGGGAGATGCCCCTTTCGTTTTCCAGGGAGGGTGGCTTGTGAGCCGCCATCGCATGCCATTTTCACAGTCCGCTCAGTCCTGTAGTTGACACTTTACTGAGATAATTGTAGGTTTCCACGCGGGTGTGAAGTGACACAGTGTCCCCTGCGCCCCTCCCACGGTGTCTGCCAGCGGCAGCGTCTTTAACACGTAGCACAGCAGCGCAGGGAGGACACCGGCTCTCTCACATTCTTAAGAGAATTTAAAAGAATCTGCGGCCAGGCAGGTTAGAGGCGCGGGATCTCGTCCTCACCGGGTGGGAGCGCGGGGTGAGGCGCTGCCGACTGTCATTTTATGACTACACGCAGCTCGTGGCAGCCCCTGGGGCCAGCCTGCCCTGCGTTTATCAGCTCGATTGCCTTACTTTGAGCACAGAGTAGGAAGGCCCACTTTGAGCACAGACAGAGGAGGAAGGCCCCGCTTGCATGTCTGGTCGGGAGCCTCCCCCCCACGCCGCCAGGCCCGTGGGGTGGGGCGGGACAGGGCCCGCTGCCCCGCTCTGGCTGGTATCGCTGGCTTGTTAGTTCTAGTTAGACATTCCCAGTCCATTTATGGATCGGTTCAGGTTAGGGGGCACGACCTAAGCCAGGCCCTGAAGAGAAGGCCAGGACTTTATTAAAATAGCAGGAGGGGGGAAGGGCTCTTCCCCGCTGGGGACACTCAGGACCAGGCTGGGGGCCCGGCCATCTCGCCGCCCCAGTGGAAGAGCCACCCGGGCGGGGCAGCAGAGGAGGGTGGGGCTGACAGATGGACAGAGAGACAGAGAGGTGGACAAACGGTCCCAGAAATGTCATGGATCTCCTGAAGGTCACGCAGCTATTCCTAGTGATCCTTGAAGGAAATGAAGCCTCACTTTACCCCTCAGCTCTGGTGAGGAATGGTTATTTCCGAGCAAGGAGAGAGATCTGCTGACTTCACACGTTTGATTCTGCAGCGGCTCTGAGGGAGGCTGGGTTAGAGGGGGAAGAGTTTGCAGCCACCTGCAAGCTCGGAATTCGCGGTGAACAGGAGGGCGCCTCCCTCTCTGTGAAGATCTTGAAGAAGTTTACCGACATGATCTCACTTGTTTTCAGCTGCAATGAAGTGAAGTCACCTTGGTGCAGAAGGGGTGTCTAATTTTCTTCTCTTATTTCTATTAGGAAACCAAGTTGCAGTGAAAACCAGGGCCCTGCTACTCCCCTACTCCTATGGCCTATTAAAAATGTACATGAGCTAGTCTGACACCTCCAAGCCCTGTTTGGTGGCCCCGTCTCGTCTTCAGGCATTGTACAGAGTGACTCACAGACCTCATCCCTGAGCCATTTGTCAGGAGACAGTGATTTATTGAGATGGAGACAATAACGTGCTAATCGAGCAGCCAGTCCAGGTCTTATCAGCACTGCGTTCCTTGAAGTTGAGCTTCAATCGCACGTGGGAAGAATCTAAGGCACTCTCTCACCTCCTGTTCCTTCCTCGCGAGTCTTCTGGAAGGCTTCGGCACTTGTGCAGGTGGGAGTGGCATTCTCAGGGCCAAAGGCTAGAACTGGGGATTTGAATTAGGGTTGCCTAAAGCAGCTTAAATCTGTCTGCCCACCCATCCATCCATCTGTTCATCCATCCATCATTCTCAATATTTATTTAAATAGATAATAAGCAAAAGGTAAAGAAATTAAAACAAAGCTTCCTTGTCTGTAAAATAGGCATAGTAATATCTACCACATAGAGTTGTATGAAAATTAAATGAATTATTGCTGAGCATAGTGGCTCATGCTCCTAGCACTTTGGGAGGCCAAGGCAGGAGGATCACTTGAGGCTGGGAGTTTGAGGCCAGCTTGGTCAACATAGCAAGATCCCATCTCTAAAAAATAAATTAGCTGGGAATGGTGTCATGCACCTACAGTCCCAGCTACTTAGGAGGCTGAGGCAGGAGGATTTCTTGAGCCCAGGAGTTGGAGGCTGGAATGACCTATGATTGCACCACTACATTCCAGCCTGGACAACAGAGCGAGACCCTGTCTAAAAAAAAAAAGAAGTAGTATATGCACAGTGCCTGGAATGGTGCTTTGTTTATAGTAAGTATATGTGTTAGCTATTGTGATTGATGTGAATCTTGCAGTCCTATTCCTCAACCACCCAGTTCCCCTCCCATAACAAATTCCAGAGATCATCTACATACATAAATACGTGTACACACACACACACACACACACACACACACACACACACACCCCACCTCTGGGCAGGCTGGCCCTAAAGGCAGAGAATTTCTGGTGCCAGCCAGTGTTGGGAACCTTGGCAGTGGGAGGCTGCCCAGGGACCTCCAGGGTGGGAGTCTGAGGGGGGTGGAAGAGGTCAGCTGGAGGGCATCACCCATGCAGGGGACTGGGGACGTGCAGTGGCTTCCTGAATCCTCTCCTGAAACCCTAAGGAAGCCAACACTAGGATGGCGGAGCGGCTGGGAGGGAGGAGGCGATGCGCAGCAGCCCTGGCGGGCCAGAGCCGCAGACCCGAGCCCGCCCTCTCTGCCAGCGCGCGCGGAGGGGCTGAGCGCGGAGAGGGACGCGGGGCGGCCCGTGCTCCCCACCCGGGAGCCTGGCGGCAGGCGAGGTGGGGTGTCGCCGCGTTCGGCGCGGAGTCGCGGAGAGCTGGCCGGGAAGCACTGGCAAGGGCGGGGCGGAGCCGCGAAGGGCAGGGAGCCGAGCGGGAGCGCATCTGCGGGCCAGCCGTGCGGCTCGATCCACCCGGGAGCCGCCACCGCGGGCCGGACTGGGATTCACCCTCCAGCGCCCTTTTGTCGCTGGGGGCTGCTCCGTGGTGTCACCGGCTGCGCCTCCCGTGTGTAGAGGGGCAGTGCTCGTGGGAGCCCGCGGCGTGTCCCAGCACGCTGCGCGCCACGCGCGGCTCGGGCAGCTGCGCCCAGGGCGGCCTCGCACGCACGCGGCTTGCGAGTTTAAGCCGGCCTGAGCGGGACTGAGCCCGGCTGGATCGGTGCACACCCCAAAGTGACCGGGAGGTGGCGGGCCGGGCTGGTGAGGAGGAGGAGGGACGCAAGGGGAGGCGCAGCCGAGCGCGCACGCGCAGGCGGACGGGAGCAGGCGGGCGGCCCCAGGCGCATGCGCGGCGGGCGGCGGCCGCGCTCTTTGTCTGGCGCGCGGAGTGCTCGCCCCGCGGGTCCTGCTCCGCCCTGGGCGGGGTCTTCCTCGCACGGGGCAGTCCGCCGCGCTCTGGGAGCGTAGGGGACTTGTCCAGAGTCACTTGGCTGCGCGGGGCAGCGTCAGGTCTGCAGTCTAGGGTCGCCTCTGGAGCCCAGGCTCTTAGCTGCTGCAGCAGGGACTCCTGGCTGCCTGTCAGAGAACCCTTTCCTCCTTCCTTAGTAGCAAAACTTTGGTTCTCTTTGGGGTGCCGATGTGCCTAGCTGCACCACCACATTCCCTAGCCTCCTGCAGTGAGGAGTGGCCAACGAGAAATATGCAGACAGGGGCACTTGTAAGAAATCCCCCTAAGAAGTACATGAATAGATGGTAGATGCCTTTTGTGCCCTTCACTCCATTTCCTTTTGGTTCTTCCCTGGAATACAGATGTGATGTCTAGGGCTCCAGCAGCCATTTCAGACCACGAGATAACTTTGAGAATGGATACCATGTACAAAAGACTGGGGAGAAGAAAGTTGGCAGGGGTCTGGATCTCTGATGACTTTGCCCTAGACTGACCAACTCTTCAGCCTCTACAAAGCCAGTGTTATTTCTGGTCTCTGTTGCTAGCAGATGAAGGCAAATTTTAATGAATTTACAATCACTGAGCTACCGAATTTTCCGAGGAGTATCGGAGACATTCAGTGCCTACAGGAAATATTTACTGAGGAACTTCTATGGGAGCCCCCAAATATTAAAGCAAGGCCCTGGAGAGAGGCCCTAGAGTAGCCTTCTGTCTCCCGGAGACCAGCACAGTGACCCCAGGCCAGAGTCATCCCCTCCTCTAGCCGCCAGCGCCCTCGCTGCCTTCACAGCGACTCCGACAGTGAATCCCACCTTACCTGGCGATGTCTCATGTTTCACTGTTCAAATTTTTAAAGGCTGAAATTATTTTTTTATCTTTTAAAAAATTGTTATATAATCGTTGTGCATATTTTGGGAGAAGATGTGAAATTTTAATACCTATTTACAATGTGTAATGATCAAATCAGGGTAATTGGAGTATCCGTCACCTCAAACATTTATCTAGGGCTAAAATTCCTCAAGGACAGGATCATGTCTTATAAATTGTGTGCTCTAATTTGCATACTTCAGGGATTCCGAGCTAGAACCAGAAATTGTATTGCCACGCAGATCAGGAGATTTCCTGGAGGAAGTGGTGAACAGGCCCTTGGGACTGCTGGTGAGACCCCCAGGACACATGGAGACTCCTGACCCAGGGAGAGGGTCCAAAGCTCTGGCGGGAGCCCCCTGAGTTAGGAAACTTGCCACAAGTGAGAGAAACAAGCCACGGGGGGAATTTTTGGCTGTAAGAAATTTTTTGAGTGACCCAAGATGGTGGCATTCACATATGACACCCTCCATTCCTTCTCAGTGTGTATTAGGTTCCAAACGTTTTGAGCAAGAGGTTGCGGTGTAGGCCAGAACTCCATGAGCTGTGAGTGTGATATTCAGAAATCCTGTGTGTTCATTTCATTGACAAACTCTTACCTGAAACCATACAGCAAAAGGGATTCTGGAAAGTGTGGCTCCCCGCCGTGGGAGGCAGCATTGTGGTGCCCAGTTGACCACAGGCCAGCCAGCCCAGGATGCAGACGTCCCAGGCTGCCTGTGTTTTGGTACTTTCTGTTGCCTTTGATAGAAAGATTTTCCCCTATGTTTTTCTGAGAGTTTTATAGTTTTAGGCCCTATGTTTAAGTCTTTGATCTATTTTTAACCTAGAACTTTTTACTCTACCAAGAGTAAATGTGAAGAATAAAGGCAAAGATGAATTGAGACATTTTCAAACAAACTTATCAAGATCATCATGACATTGGATTGAGCAATAGTTTCTTGGATATACCACCAAAAGCACAGGCAACAAAGGAAAAAAATAGATAAATTGGAACATCAAAATGCAACACTTCTGTGCATCAAAGGTTACAGTCAATGGAGTCAAAAGGCAACCTATAGAATGGGAGAAGATATTTGCCGATTATATATGTGATGAGGGGTTAATATCCAAAATATATAAAGAACTACTATAACTCAATAACAACAAAAATAGCCTGATTTAAAAGTGGGCAAAGAACTTGAATATATATTTCTATAAGGAAGGCATATAAATGGCCAAAAAGTGTAATGAAAGGTGTTAAACATCACCAATCATGAGAAAAGTGCAAATCAAAATCACAGTGAGATATTATCACACACCCATTATGATGGATACTATCAAAAAAATAGGAAATAACAAGTATTGGGGAGGATGTCTAAAAATTGAAATCTTGTCCATTGCTAGTGGGAATGTAAAATGGTGCATCCAGTTAGGAAAACAGAATAGAGGCTCCCAATAAGTAAAAGAAGAAACACCATATAGTTCAGCAATTCCACTGCTGGGCATATATCCCAGATTCCAAGGATTCACAAATAGTGCCAGCCACATTCAGGTCCACAAGCCTAACCATGTCTTGAAAAAGCTGGATGTGACATGGTGAATCCTCCTTAGATGTGGGAAGTAGATTTAGGGTACCAGGGACATGCAGGGGGTTGACTCTGGAGTGAAGTAGGGGAGGTGTGAGTGAAAGAGTGAAAGCAGCACTCCTCCACCTGCTCAGCGACCATTCACCTAGCCAGGCTGCGGCCCCCGCGCGGGGCAGCGGGCAGCTCCGGGATGCCTCCTCTCAGGCCCCGTCAACATGGACCTGCCTATAGGAGGTGATCGTGGATATCCAGCTGAGTTTGGTTCTCTTATTAGTGGTGGGGGTGACTTTATTTGTACCGGCTTCTGTGGTCATGATGAATGGGGTCACTGGCTGACTTCTCTGTGTTTCAGACAAAACAACAATAAAAGACAAAAACCCCCAAACAAACAAAACCTCCCCCGACCGACACAGGCAGTCCTGCTGCCGGGCAGATCTGCACTCAGAAAACTTGAGAAATTAGATTTGGAAACAGCTTGAAAGGACCTTTGGTCTATTTCAGAAGAGCAAGTGCAGGTTTATCTCTGGGGTCAGTTTTAATTCTTTGATCAGCTAATTTTAAGTGGCTGCATCTTGAAAAAAGACATTTTGGGACTCTTATTGAGCTTTTAGATTAGTCACTGAACACAACTGCAACTTTTGGCTCATTAGAAGGATTTTTAAAAGCAGAATACAATGAGAAAAAACTTAAGAGTCTAACCCTGAGTTCCCCAGAAGTCAGTGCCTGAGACAGAGGCTTGCGTGGTAGGGTTGTTTGGGGCTGTGGTCCCAGGGAGCAGCAGTACAGGACAGAGGATGGCCAGGAATGGAGGGAAAGCTAATGCAACGCGCGTTGTTGGGTTGGCTGTCACTGTGCACAGCGGGTGGTTTATTCAGCTCGGGCTTTTTGAAGAGCTTTATGTAACAAAAACTGTCTGCCAAAAGCACCAAAGAGAAAGACTTTCATCCATTTGCTCCAGGTCCCATTGGTCAAGGATAATTCGCTTGTATTTCCAGGTCATGCATGCTGAGCACAGAGTACTCACTCAAGTGGCTGCCTCGGGGCAGGGAGTGAGAGGCACCCAGTGCAGACCCAGGGCGAGACACATGGTCTCATCGCACCCACACAGAGATGACCAGCGCCTAGGTGGAACCAGTTTCCCAGCAGTGACTGGAGGTAGAGGTGGGTTGAGAGGACTTTAAAGAGGGGCACAGGAAGTACCCAAAGCATGGACCAAACAATAAGGACATATTGACTATGTTCTGGGTGTTGGGTCCAGGGATGGTAGGTAGAACAGTGACATGATAAAGCCCTTATTATTCTCCAAAGAGCCATACTTTTTCTAATATAAAACTATCTAGGTATATGAAAAATACTTTCTATTATAAAATTTGAGCTAAATTGGCCTCTGAGAGAGTTATATGTTGAAATTTAATCCATATTGAGATATAAATGATAGATAAATATATTTTACCCACATCAGGTTTTGATAAGGGGAGGAAAACATACATGAGAATCCTGGGGGTCTTATGTAGTTGTGAATCGAATGTTCCAATCCTCATTTATTTTTCTCACTATCAGCCTTGCTTTGCCTGGTGCCTATAGTCTTGGGAGAAGGTCTCCTATAGCCCCCAGGATAGGTTTTTTTTCCCCTAGTCATTCTGCCTTGGCTTTTGCCATGAGGAGTTCAATGTGAGGAGAGAACTCAGCAAATATTTAAGTAAATATCTATGGAATGACATAAATGAATACAGAGATAAATATAGAACATTTTCTTATTCTACTCCTGCACTAGATGTACGACCAAACAAACCAGAATAGATTTTGCATAGATTAAATTTCACCTTCCTGACCTCCCCAAGCAAGTGCTTCTCTGTTTTTTTCCAGACCACCATGTATATCAGCTGCTATAGCTCTTATTCTCTTTTAGTTATTCAAAGCTTGCTGGAGTGTCAGCTCCTCAAGGGCAGGGACCATTTCTTATTAAGCTTTCTGTTGTCAGCGCTGCACAAAGTCTCTAGTGCCTGGAAATGTTTAATCAATTAGAATATGATGTAGACAATACAAACCATGACATCTTCAATAATGCAGTTAAAATGAAGAAAACCATTTGTAAAATAAAATGACTAAAAAGCACACCCTGGGAATACACTCCCAGCTGAGTGATTGTGGGTAAGGCACTAAATTTCTTTGTGTCTCAGTTTCTCCAGGTGAAAATTGAGAGACCAATCAGGGTTAGAAGGTATATGATGTGCATGCTGCCATTCTGCTTTCTGTGCCTTGGTCGACAATTCTAATGGATCATGGCATTTTTTTCACACTGAGTCCAGACATGGGCTTAGTATTCTCAATTCACTCTAGTCAGCCTCTACTAATTCATCAGAAAGATTTTAAAAGCATAAATCAAATTATATCTTTCTCCTGCTTAAAACCCTCTAAAGGACTTCTGATTCCATTCTGATGGCAAACTAAGGTCATCTAAAAAATCTCCAGCTATATATCTTTAGACAGTCTAGCTAAACTGTAACAACAGAATCAAAATGCATGGTTGATCCTGTAGGAAAGAAAGGAAAATCACCAAGTGCCAGAAACAGAAATTAAACTGAAAAGCACAGAGAAAAACTATATGAGCTCATGGCATGGTGACCCTGGGAGGAGGAAGGTAAATGAGTGATTGAGTGTATTATTATACCTGGAAATTAAGTTTTTAGTCAAATTAAAGGGTAGAAGATGCAGTCATGGGTCTGAATGAGGCAGTACGTTGGACCTGAAAACTCTGCATGATCCTGGATGCTTGAAGAATTGACCTATAGAGATAAGGTGCAAGAGAAAAAAAATCCAGCTATTAACATGAAGAGACAGGGAAATGTATCTGCTTTGGCTCTGAGGGAAAAATTAATTACTTATGAGAAATTAACATCTCTATTCTGTGCTTTATCAAAAACTAGGCTCCAAATATATTCTTTCCAAATATACTCTCCCTGAACCCCAAACAGCAGAATTAATATACAAATTGCACCTAAACTAATATTCCTTGGATTCCTGGCAAAAGAAAATATACAACTTTTGTGGAGGAACATTCCTATTATTCTCTTGCCACTGGAGATGTACAGATTAAGCACAATTGAAGCTGAATCCACAATCCAAACTTACAAAACAAATGATGAAACAAAACAACAATAGAGATCCAACAGACAAAACAATATTAAATAATTTAACATTTGTAAGTGCCTGGGACACAGTAAGTGCTGCATAAGGTTCTTTGTTGTCCCTGTTTAATTTTTAGAGAGACAGGGTCTTGCTGTCTCCCAGGCTGGAGTTCTCTGGTGCGATCATAGCTCACTGCAGTCTTGAACTCCTGGGTTCAAGTGATCCTCCCATCTCAGCCTCCTTAGTAGCTGGGACTACTGTGTCCTGC